TTTTTGTGAAGTTTCAGGACTGCCATTCTGTCACTTGAGCGACAGTGTGAGCTTGCCATTTCAACTACTCATGTAATTTCGTCATCGCCCTACGGGGCTTGTGTGTGTGTGAAACCCGTTATAACATACGGATATTTTACAATTTCGTACAACGAAGCAAGGAAGACAATATGTGGCGACAATAAGAACTGAATTTTAATTCAGACATGCAGGGGGCTGGAGTGTGAATCAGAAGTCTCCAGCCAACGAAGACGCTTCTGATGTCACAGTGATATCAACCTGGGACGCTGGGTTGACGTACCTGCAATGTTGGTTCGAACTTTTGCACAAGCTGTTCTATTACCTTGTTTTTGAGTCCTTTGGCAAGAATCGATTGCCCGAATTTCACCGTTTGCAACCGTGCCCCATCGAAGGTGACTTAGGAAATCAGGCGACGGCAAGTTCTACTCTCATCATCATCAAATCAACCTAAGCAGTGTGTGTTTAATTTCATGTATGCATGTAAATGTGTATGTATATGTATGTATATGTATGTATGTGTATATATATATGCATTTATCTGCCTATCTAAATATTATATATATATGTGTACATGTATGCATATGTATATGTATATTTATATATGTGTATGCCTATGTAAATGTATATGTATATGTATATGTATGTAGTTAGGTAGGTAGGTATGTATGTCTGTATGTATGTATGTATAATATATGTATATGTGTATGTATATGTATGTATATGTATGTATATGTTTGATTATGTATGTTTCTGTACGTATATGCATGTAGATGTATGTATATTCATGTCTATCTGTATGTATATATGTATATTTAAACGTATTTTTTGTTTATCTATATACGTGTATGTATATGTATAGATAGAATATAGGTATATGTATATGTAAATGTAAATGTATATGTATATGTGTACGTGTATGTTTATGTATGTGTACATATATGTATTTGTGTATGCATGTATGTATGTATGCATGCATGTATGTATGTATACTATAGTATAGTATAGTATCGTATCATATCGTATAGAATTCGTATAGTATAGTATATGTCTGTATGTGTATGTAATTGTATGCATATGTATGTATATGTATGTAATTGTACGTAATTGTATGTATATGTATGTATAGTACTGTATATGTATGCATATGTATGTAATTGTATGTATATGTATGCATATGTATGCATATGATTGCATATGCCTGTATATGTATGTATATGTATGTATGTATGTATGTCTATGTATATATGGTGTGTGCATGTACATGTATGTAGATGCATGTGTATGTGTATGTATGTGTTTGTATTTGTTTGTTTTTGTTTGTTGTTGTTTCCTGTTTGTCTTTGTTTTTGTTTGTGTTTGTTTGCTTTTGTTTGTTTGTTTGCTTGTGTGTTTGTGTGTTTGTGTGTTTGTGTTTTTGTTTGTTTGTTTGTTTGTTTGTTTGATTGTTTGTTTGTTTGTTTGTTTGTATTTGCTTGTGTTTGTGTGTGTGTTTGTGCGTGTTTGATGTTTAATCGCAGAAAATGTATGATCAGTGTTTAGGCATACACACAGCACCACATTCATATATATGAGTATATATATATATACTATAATATTCAATATACTTTAAGCACCCTTAAGCAACCAAAGCCCCAAAGAAGCAGCGTTTGAGATGGTTTAAGGAAAATAAACCAGGTTTCTACAGCCACCTGGATTTTTCCAGACTTTGGTTGGTCCAGGTATACACCTCCATGTGTGCATCTATGTCTATGAAAAATTGTGTCGATGCAATACAAGCAAACCCTAGTCGGAATGAATCAAATGGTTGACTCAAATTAAATGGTTTTTGTAAAAATGCCGATGAGAGCGGAAAGAAATGATGGCCAGAGAGGTCAGAGTTGCGACGCAATTCATCAGCATTATATACTATCATTACTTCCGCTCTCTGTCCTTCCCGCTCCATTGCACACTTCTGCAGAGGATCTATCCACAAGCCATGTGTAGACAGAGTGACGCTTCCATGCAGCAATGCCAAAAGTCCAGCCCAAAGACCCAGCATCGGCCTTAGATGGACGCCGTTCGCACCTGCATTGCCAAAATAAAAAGCAGAAATGCTACTCACTGTGCCGAATGCTGCAGAACAAAAAGGACGCAAATTAGAAGCTAGCACTTCAATATTTAATCTAGTGTTTGGACATCTGCTTGACTTGAAGGTGCGGTCTTAACACCGGAGTTCAAGAGATTGAAAGGAGGGGGTAAACAAAAAACCGATCTCAAGCAAATGTGGAATCGGCAAATGGGTCGCTGGCCCTGAGCCAGAGATCAATATTTGTTCCTCCAGATTGCCAAACATATGTCCACGTGGGATGCAAGCAGTGACAACAACACGCATGCAAAGCACAAGTCCACGATGCTTTGCCCAACATTCCCCTTTGCCAGCTTCTATTGGCCACACCCTACCGAAATGCTGCTAGATGATCTTAGCGTCTTTTCTCTTGAAAACTTCAGACATAACTGGCATAAGGTAACACTAAGGTAACACAACATGACAGAACCGTGATCCAATTTGATCCACCGCGATCCAACGAGACCATGACGACCCTGGTCCTTTGGCTTCACAGCGCCTCCAATGAAGGCAAGGCCGCCCAAAGGCCACAGCAGGATGTGATCAGCAGTGCAACCGCAACGTTTGGCAGCGATGACATGGCCCAACTCATGAACCAAAACCTCAACACGTCGGAGGCAGAAAACAAGCTTAAGGGGAGGCCATAATCAAGAGGCATTGGGCAAAAACCACTATAATCACGATATAATATAGTTCTCTCTTAGTTGCATCTACATGTAGGGTCTAGTCACTTTTAGTCATTACTTACCTCCTTGCACTAATTCTCAGAAATTGTGCCTCCCTCACCCCTCTTCTAAGATTCTAAGTTAAGTCTGGCAGTCTAGCAAGAGAACGAGAACCCCCAATTCGGTGCAGCATGTTCAGCGATTCAGCGCTACAAGGGACATGTCGTTGGGATGGGGAAGCTGCACAATTGGAGCCAATGCGATCCTATCAGGTATATATAATTATATATATATTACATGATTTCATATGCTCTATAGATATAATATATAAGTATATATATATATATAAGTATATATATAAGTATATATATAAGTATATATATATATAAGTATATATATAAGTATATATATATATAAGTATTATTATTATTATATATATAATTTGTTCAACAAAACATTTACCTCTTTCAGCCAAGGGCCGTGATCAATAGCAGCGGCCCGGCCACCAATACTGCCAGAAGCACTGACTGCCAGGGATGCCCCGCTGCGACAGTGCTCAAGGCAGCCAGGACTGCTGCCAAAGGCAAGAACACATGCAGCCGGATTGGAGTTCCCATGACTTGGCCACATGGAAAGGATAGCCACTCAATACCTGACCTTTGGCTGCCATCGCCCGACATTTTGGGCAAATTTCCGCAGCCAACCTGCGAATCAACGTTTCGAGCCTCAATGGCCAAACATGATACCGACTTTTTGAGAAATATGTACAGTTACATATGTAACATGTACCATATATGGCTGAGTCACGCTGAATCAAGAATTCAGAATTTGGCCGTGAAATCTTCGCAGCTTTCTGATATGTTTTTCCACGATTTCCTTACTATGGGTCTCTCATAATTTCAGAATAGTTTTTCAAAGATTTGCCTTGTTTTATTCCCCACCTGCCAGGTGAGGGTTGTTAGATTTTATGTCAGTTGCCTCCTCCTCCTGCTCCTCCTGCTCCTCCTCCTCCTCCTGCTCCTCCTCCTCCTCCTCCGCCTCCTCCTGCCTCGTCCTCCTCCTCCTCGTCCTCCTCGTCATCCTTGTCGTCCTTGCTCAACTGCGACCCGCGACCCGTTCCCTTCCGATCCATCCTCGCCCAGTGTTCCCTGCCGGACCTCAACCACGACCATCCACGCCCAGTGTTCCCTGCCGGACCTCAACCACGACCATCCGCGCCCAGTGTTCCCTGCCGGACCTCAACCGCGACCATCCGCGCCCAGTGTTCCCTGCCGGACCTCAACCGCGACCATCCGCGCCCGGTGTTCCCTGCCGGACCTCATGTAGGAATGTCAGATAGACTGCCAGATAGAATGCCAGATAGAATGTCAGATAGGATGCCAGATAGAATGCCAGATAGAATGCCAGAAAGAATGCCAGAAAGAATGCCAGATAGAATGCCAGATAGAATGCCAGAAAGAATGCCAGATAGAATGCCAGATAGAATGCCAGATAGACTGCCAGATAGAATGTCAGAATATATGTCAGAATATATGTCAGATATAATGCCAGATAGAATGCCAACATATATGCCAGAATATATGTCAGATAGAATGCCAAAATATATGTCAGATATAATGCCAGATAGAATGCCAGAATATATGCCAGAATATATGTCAGATAGAATGCCAGAATATATGTCAGAATAAATGACAAGTAGAATGCCAGAATACATGTCAGATGAAATGTCAGAAAATATGTCAGATAGAATGCCAGATAGACTGCCAGATAGAATGCCAGGTGGAATGTCAGGATATATGCCAGATAGAATGCCAGAATATATGCCAGAATATATGCCAGAATATATGTTAGAATATATGTCAGATAGGATGTCAGAATATACTAAATATATGTCCAAATATACGTCCTGACATGTCATGGTGGGGATCACACGAAGTAGAGTAATTTTGTTGGTTTTTCTTCTTCTTTCTTCTTGACTTCAATATAAAATGCCTATCAAAGCCTACAAGTCTACTCTGCCTGATTCTGCCAGAGCGCTTTGCCCTGCATTGTGAAATTTGAATGAATTTGAAATCTACAGAGTAGTCCTTCATGTGCTGGATCTCCATTTCCTCCTTTTTCACAAAAGAACTTCTTCTCGTCAAAAAAATGTCCATCATTGACCCTCTTCCAGCCCATGCAGCTGCTTTTCTCTGGCAGTTCTGGCAGTTTCAGAGTTGCGGCAAGCCAGTCCAACGACCAGAAGCTGCAATGTCTTGTAACAACAGCACGTCACACTCCAGTGCTGAGCCTGCAATGGTGCCAATGCAGAGATCGGGAAATGTGCAGCAATAATCAATAATCATTCTTGTTGACGGCCCTTTTTCTCAGCTATGACCGAAAATGTATTGACCCCTTTCGAAGAATCTCCTTGGTTCCCCTGTCAGCTACTTAAAATTTCTGACTCTCGGTGCAATTTGGAAGCGGCCGGGCCACACCGCGCTGCCGCACCTGTGGTTTCACTGCCATTGGCGTGCCGCACGGAGTATTCCCACTGGCACGGACCATCTGTCCTCAGCTGCCTCAGCTCATCTCAGCTCTATGTGATTCTGTGTGAGTGTGTGTGTTCCTTGCCAAGTCATTGCTTCCAACTCCAGAGGTTAATGACATCCAGGATCATCCAGGCAAAATGTTTGACATTACATTGATATTACATGATATTACTGTCCCGTCAATCCCCGCCCCAACCATCCAGACATATCCAAACATATCCAAACGATCCAATTTCATGCAATTAGAACATTAAGTTGGACCTCCAGCAAACACCAGTGCCCAACATGTTGCAACTATGGCACGGTTGCATCAAATCTGGAGAAGCCAATGACGCAATCCAAGGAGTGAACTTCTGGTCTGGCCGGTCGCCTTGCCTCAGCAAATGACATATCATTTCTTTAGCAACTTTAGTAGTTACACCTGAGTCGTGAGGCCTCTGATGAAAGCTTGGGAAGTGTGGTCAGGTGGACAGCTGAGAGCAACTTTGAAAGCTTTCCCACCAATTCAAGCGCTCCCAAATTCGAATCATGAAAAATGGGACCCTCCAGACCCGGTCACAAGTGAACATGCTGCAACAATCACCGGACAAGACCATTGAACTTTCTTATTGATCGTTCTTGAATTTCATCGCACATTGTCTGCAAACACCCTGTAAACTGTAAAGCAGCTATGGCCATGACCTACCACGACCTTCTATTCCTCGCTGGGGCACACATGCTTTGACTTGGCGGCCACGAACCCATTGACCACCATACGCACTTGCTGAGGCTGGCCTGCAGGTGACACTGCCGCAACTAAAATCACCAGCTCCATGCAGCTCCTCTTGATGGTGGGCCTCCAGAGCCCAGCAAGAGCAGGATAAACATTGGCTGATGAAACCTCAGACTCAACTAGGCACTGTTGTAGGGTGTTGTAGGCATTTGCCTGCCGACAACCTGTATTACTGTATTCGTCGCAGGTTGGTGATACTGCATCATGTCCACTGAATCAACACACTGCTCAAATCAAGTGGGATCAAGGCCGGCACTGCGGAATCAACCCCACCTGCACTGCGAAGTCCACACCAATGCCTGCGGACATGGCCTCCAGCATGTAGCAGTTCTGAACACAAAATACTGCTACTCTTGGGAGACATTGGTATACTGTAGAACCTTTGAAAAGTCTGCACATGAGAAAGGGCAATCAGACAAGCTGCTGTGGCCACTCGCTCGGAGAAGCTAGTGTCCAGTGCCATGGACAGCTGTTGTTCCAGCAGAAGATGTAAATCGTGCAGGATCCTGATGATTTCACGAGCAAGATGGTTCAAAGGATCCAATAAATCTAATTGGCAAATTGATGGCAAGTAATTAAGCACATTCCAAAGAGAAGAGTTATATATATAACATGTATCATAATCAACATGGATCAACATGGTATAATCGTTGTGTTGCTCATCGTTGGCTGGACTTGCCAGGTATATCCTGATATCAATTGATTCAGCATCTCCGAGGCTGCGACGGAATGCCAGGTCTGGCTTGAAGGCGCACAGGCAGCACGGATGCCGCGCTGGATGTGAGGAAAATCCTTCCCACAGGGTCTCAAAGAGAGCTGAGTAAAACACGGGGAATAAGACATGGCAATGCAAAACACATTGAAAGAGACGGAGAGGAAATTAAAAAAGGAGGATACCAAGAACCATACAGTACCAAGAACCATACCAAGAACCATACCAAGAACCATACCAGTACCAAAAGTTGCTTCATTAGAATCATTAGTTCAACGAGTGTCAACGATGATGATAAACCTGGTATACATCCTGGATCATCCTGGTACAGTACCCCACTCTCCTGAAACCTGAGTTGGCCATGAGCCGTCCGAGGTCTCTTTCAGCTTCTCTCAACGGCGCTACTTCGCTGCGAAAGGTGCCACGGGGAGTTCTCAACAACGGCGGGCAAATTAAAGAGCCTCATCACTGGCCCCGGTGGGCTGACAGAAACGAGCAGAAGCATATAAATACAATATATTACAATTGTATTACATTATTATATTGCAGCAGCTAGGTGCTGCAGGAGGGCAAGTCGCGGAAATGCAAGGCAAGGCAGGGATGTTTGGAATTTGGCACGCACATTTCATTTGTCAATATTGATATCGATGATACTGCCAAGATCTGCCAAGCAACCTGAAATGTGAGCCAGTTGATCCTCGTGCACAAGCGTCACCTCCTGAAGGGCTATCTGTGGCGCCTGAGTCGCTTCCTCTGCAGGGGGTACCTCTGCAACTGGCTCTTCACCTTCCAGGTCAAACTCTTCACTCGAACCTCAGAGGAACCAAGTCTGCAAGACATGAACCAGGCAGCTTGAATGACCCTCCACACATTAAAATACGTACGTACTAACAGTAGGGAAAAAGCTCTTCAAATCGAAACAAACAGAGACTCTTCGCACAATTTTGTTCTGAAGTCTTCTCGTTGTTGTTCATGGTTTTTGCTCTCGTTGTTCTGGTGTTGGAGTTAGATTGGTCTTTTTTGCTGAGTTGCTCCTGCTGTCGTAGTCACTTTTGAAGTATTGGTTCTCTTGGTGTTGCTAAGGTGGTTGCTGTTGTGGCGTCTCTGGTAATCACATTCCAACAGCATCCAACAGCAACCAACAGCATCACATTGTTCGATCCAGCCTGTGTTGACTCGTGCATGAAGGTATGCCGCTGCTTGTGCTTTGACAGCCGGGCTGGCACTGCGCATGCGAGCCACCATTACCATTGGCAAGAAATCAAAGAAGGCCTTCCTGCATCAAGACAATGCCGGCACGGATTGGGATTTCAGGCAGGCTCTTTCAGAGGTAAAGTATGGTAAAGTACTCCTCAACATCTCTCAACAATGCAGTAGATTTGCCGATGATTCATGTTTGGGGGGGAACTTGCTGTTCACCTGAGTTAGCCCATTGATCAATCAATGCCGATTGTGCGTTTTTTGATCAAACTTGGCAAGCACGTCGTGAAACCCACGAAAGCGAACAATAACCTCACCACCCTCACCAACAGAGTCTCTCTCGCGCTCCCTCTCTTTTTCATTTCAGGGAGGCGTGTCAATTTGTGCTGCACGTGCTTCAGTCCAATCCCTGTCAGAACATATTCATCCTAGTCGCAGACAAATATTATTGAATTATTGTCACCATATTTCATCATGGAAGAAATTGGCAGCAAATCCTGACAGCTTGCTCAAAGAGGAGCTCCAAAATGCTTCGCCGCACAACGCTACGCAATGGTGAGGTGTCTTCGGAGAGCCTCAGAGTAGAACGGGTTTGTTTGCCATATCCTCATGGTCAAACAAATCTATGCATATAAAAAAATATAAAGAATCTATTTCTAGATATTCTACGAAAGCGGTGGACATCATTTATATTCATTTATCAATCAGTACCCTGCAGGCCAAAAGTCGCTCCATCACCAGCACTCGTGGAAGGAGACGAGGCGACAGGCAGGGCTCCTGATGGCCAGTCTAATATCAAACATGCTGGCACCATCAGCGTGTCGCCGATTGGAGTCTTGCCGATTGGTGGTACCGGACATGTATATTACATACCATACCATACCACACCACAACATTACACGGCATTGCATTGCATTACTTTACATTACATTACGTGACATTACATTACATCCATTACATATCCTTGTTCATTTGTGTATATGTTGTCTGCGTACTTGTAAAACTCTAAAATCTCAATATCCGTCTATATATTATGTAAATGTATATAATATGTACATATTTATATATATATATATAATTATCCGGGTTGAAATATCCGGGGAGCCCCCGTGCCCCCTCATTTTATTAGTACAAACCTCCGGCCTTACCCTGGTTTGCTACAAAATGAACAACCACCATCAAAAACACCCAACTACAAAATGAAAACCCAGGGTCCAGGGGCATCAACATAGGTTTGCTACAAAATGTCATGCCCAAGGGCTTTATTTCTAACTTCAACATCCAACATGTTACTTCTTGCTTTGTTGCAGGTCATTTTGTAGCTATTACATCCTTCTACAGATCCAGTGGAGGGATTTCATTTTGTAGCCACATGAGGGCCGCTCCCACATGTTCTTCTTCTTGATTGCCAACCAAAAAACTACAAAATGTTTTCCGGGTCAATTAGCAAGTTGCTACAAAATGGTTTGGGTTTTTTATGTTATCATGTGTTATCCAAACAAGAGCAGCTACAAAATGGATTCACGGCCTCACCATATAAGCCCACACACAGCCTTAAAAAAACTACTTTGCTACAAAATGGTGGCCCTGGGTGCATTTTTAAAACCCTGTTTCACTGATAAAATGCATTAGATTGTTAGCCCAGGGCCCTTCAATCTGTAGCTGAAATTTTAACGCGGATATATAATTTACATATATAATATATAATATATGGATATGATATGTGTATTATTGTACATTGATGTATATTGTGAACTATATGTGTGTATGCATATGGTAGCAACATATATGATCATACAACCATAATATGTATACTAATAATAATAATGTGTAATCATGAACTTAGTATTTAATAATATGAACGTGTGCCACAACAAATGCGCCACACACAAGGCAAAACGTATCTTTTTTTGTGACTCCCCCATCGTTTTAGGAGGTTTCATGTGAAAGCAAACATCTCCAATACATATTTAATCAATTTTACAATTTGACGTAAATTTTGACGGAATTTCATGTCTTGTGCTTGTTGCTGTCTCGTTTGAACCGCTCCTAGCTTCGGTGCTCCCAGTGGCACTCTCGGGCTCGTCCTTGGAGAGCTCCTCAGGCGGTATGGTATCTGCGGTGAGGGACTGGGCGGGAAGCGCAGGATACGAGTATCAGGGGTAAAGCCCCGGACCATCGTAGCACCATTTGAAAACAAGTGACAAGTGATGACAAGAACTATAAGAACTGACAAGATACTTTGAATAAATTCACATACAAATGGGTCCCCTAGAGTTTGTGATACCCGAAATATCCAGAAGAAACTGTGAGAATAATTCGAAAATCGGGTGGTAGCATCTGATGGGTCTTGAGCCACACTGCCAACTATGCCATGCCGAAGTTAGCCTCTGATGCTTGTGGGATCACCCAGGTTGAAGAGACAACTGGAACAAGGCCCGATAGACATCCCTGGGCACCTGTATGGATCCACCCGTCTCTCTGAAGGCTTGGCAACCAAGAAGTCCTGCCAAGACTTCCAGCAAAATGTCTGATAAAATGGAAGGTCCTGGAAGATCCTGGAGTAGTTCTGCAAAATTCTGCGAAGCTCTTGTCACTGAAGAAAGCGCCAAGAAAAACGAGCCTGGAACCTGGGCTTCCCTGCAGCCTGCCCAAGCTGCAGTTCGGGCACAGCATACCATAAAAATCTGCAAGGCAGAAAAAAACAGTGACCAACAATAGCCAGATTTTTTCACCATCTGTTACAAGTCAACGGAATACTACTCTAAATGCCCCAAACAACTCAAGAAGACGCCTCCGCACGATGCTTGGACCCTGCATTTTGCCGCAAGTCCACACGTGCAGGAGCACTAAATTCGGAAGCCCATACCACCTGAGCACCTCAGAAATCGTTTTGTCTTCTGATGTTGATTATCATATCAACCATCCGTCTATGTGGCGGATTGCAATCATTGGCGTATAAGGGCACAGGTGTGCGTGTGCCTGCGCGCACGCACTTATCAAAAGAAATTCAATGCTTTGTTCAATCTTGCTACAACAAACCTCAGCTACTAATCTACAGCAACCCTGGCCAATTGCAGGGACAGGCACCTTCCATCAAAACAGCTCTTAGCTGAAGCAAATAGCAGTGACCGCGGGGTAATTCCAACCTGGGAGTGAGTCGTGAAGCTTCAGTGTCTCAGTCTGAACCCCAATGCTGAGATTTGTCAAAATCAACTGCTCTTCAAACAAATTCACGTGTCTCACACTGGTGATGTGATTCCGGTTATGCAAGTGGCACCGGAGCCAAGGCACTGAAAGGGCGAACTCCTGCACTGCCACCTATCAAGCTCCGGCTGAGAGGAATTATCGATCAGATATTTCCTCGTTTGTCATGAAATTGTCATCATCAGTCATGGAGTCATGATTTGTCATCATCTTTTAGAGCGTGCACATTGATTGCCAAAGCGCTCTTGTCGCAGTCGGACTTGCAAGTGCAAAAACATGCAACAAATTGCCATTCAAAATTGATACTAGACGATACTAGCATTCTATAACTCACCAGTGACGGTTGTAAGTTTTTGATCAAAGTTATACTTCCAACTGGGACGTCAGGCCTGTTGCCAATGTCTTTGGCTGCTGGATGATCATCTGGCAGCCTGCGCCGCAGTCTTCGACCGCATGTCCAACCCCAATGGATCTTCGAAATCGTGTGCTGTTGGCGTCGCCACTGTGAGCCTTACTTCAAACCCTTGTGCAAGCTTCTGGTCGCACGGAAGCGCTTCAGCATTCCATCGAAAAAGCCAGGAGAGCCTGCCAAAGAGGCGGAAGACAGTGGATAAGCTTGTAGCTCAATGGTGCGCAGGCAGAAAGTTTGAGGAGTTGCTATACATTTGTGATGCGTACCTGTCAGGATTCCTTGTCTTGCAAGAATCGGGTTTGATGTCAGAGGGAGCAGCCGGACCCAAACAAAACTGGAACCTTGTTGACCGAGAATCGTCCCCATTCTATGATAAGATGATCTTCCCCATGCTGTTGAAGATGTTGAATATCTATCGATATCTGTCTATGCCCGTGGTCAGTTTCGCTTAAATTTTCGAGCTTGCTGCAAATCGAGTCTCGCTATTCTCGCTGTACGACTTCAGCAAGCGGGTTGAAACACCTGAAATGTAGTGAGACCGTGAAACTCTACCGTTTTGATCTGTTTTGCCTCCTGCTTGCAGGATTCACAAGCAGCAAGGCCTGCTACCTCTGGCAGCAAAAGTTTGGAATCCACAGCCCTTAGGGCGACAACCCACATCGATTTTAGATGAATTTAGGATCTTTGCCTATGGTGCCTACATCTAGAATGGACCTATCTAAATACCAAAGCCAAATGCAAGTGCAGCTTGTGGAGCTTTTCGCTGGTGCAAACAGTTGCGGAGATTTCTCTCCACAGTTTGGGCTTCTTCAAGAACAATCAGCGGACACTAATTTGAGAATCTATTGAGTGTATAAAATGTATATATCATTCTAGCAATATTGAGGGTATTATTGATTATATCTGTACCATTCTATACGTATCGAATTGTGTAAATCCGTGCTCTGATATGCTATGTGTCATTGAGTGCTGAATGGTGTTGAGTAATACTGACACTGATACTACCGGTTTTGAAGATCTTTGAAGTGATTTGAAGCACAGGGCATTTGGCTGTGAGCTCAGCATCACTCAGCCAGTCAGCACGCCGCTGGCAAAGGCGCCTGCAGCCGCCAGGGCGGCATAGCTGGCAGCCCGCGTGGGGTCCTTGGCGAAGCCAGGGCCCAAAGGACCAGGAAGCTCCAGTTCATGCACGGCCTCCAGCTGGAAATGCGAAGGAAAAAGCGCGACCATGGATCCACAGGTACCACGAGGAAACGAAAGGAAACTCCAAATGTTACAGTGTTTATTATTCTTCGATATTCTTGGTGCTGTGGGTGATCCTTCAAGAGTCAAGAGAGCTGCAAATGGTCTGTCCTGCTAGCAAAACACGACACATTACTAGACCCAAACAGCCGCTGGCTTAATGATGTGGCTGACAACTTGTCATCCGAAACCTGACGTATCGGCGCAGGCCTCTGTTCCGGCCTCTTTTCTGAGGTGTATGGCTAGACTTCGGCAGTCGGGTGCCAACAAGTCATCAGCTGCATAGGCCTCAAGGGGATTGATTCCAGTCGCCCAACATGGAGGAACATCCAAACGTCGGCAGTCATTGAAATGCCATGAGCACCCCTGAAATACTTGATTGATCTTTATTGCATTTTTTGTCATCATTGTATCTCATTGTGATGTTGAGACAACACAGGCACAAGAAAGGACATGAGTGCATCTAATATCATCTAATTACTCTGACTTTAGTGCGCGCGTTTATTTCTCTGAAGCTACACAACAAAACCACATGTTCGACTTTGTCGCACCACACCGTGCCGCCGGACAGTATCAGTAGCAAATACCAATGTGTACAAACTGCAAACATCTACAAACATCTATATACAAACATCTACAAACTATGATTCATATTGATTTATGACATTTATGAAATGCGAAAGTCTGTCCCCCATGGTCAAATCCAAGGAATGGCACCAAGAACGTGCGCGGCAGGTCTTGCAAGGAGTTTGCAAGCAGAGGTGACACCTCCTCAACCTGCATAGCTTGAACGAATTGGAGAGTCCTTGCAAAATAATCAAAGTCTTCAGAAATGTCATTCTACGTCGCTGCTCATGACACCATGACTGTCTTTCTAATTTTGTCTCAGAAATTGATGTATACCTGTTGCCAAGCAGAACCTGCTAGGATGAATGAAAATGGGCCCTGTGGGCATGTTTGGGTACTGTGTCCAGAGCCTTCATCCAATCCTCGACCTTTGGTTCGTCATCATCATCATCTTCTTCACCTGTTGCTTGCCGCGGTGGCCCATACACCTTGCAGCAAGACGGCAGTAGGATCTTACAGGTTCCCTTTCGTAGTAGTATGTAGTATATTACATGATATGCATTGATATGTGGGAATATGTCAGATCATAATATGCATGCGCGTGCGGGGCCCAAAAATCAGTAAATCGTGATCTACTCTGTCCGGTGGTCAAAAATAAAATGCCTCTTCATTCAAGAAGTTACTACATTATTGCACATGTGCGGCAACCCTAGCAGGCACAGAAAGAATCCAGTGACTATAACATTGGCGGTTTGGTCACACTGGCGGCTCATTGCTATGCCTCACTGGCAAAGGCCAAGTCCTCCTGCATCAGTATGTGAAGGTCATTGTCTTCTTGGCAGCTCTGCATGGATTGGCTCGTCGGCCTCTAATGGCTTTCCGTCAGAAGGGGTCCAAATCGACAAGGGTTTTTCCGGGGTTTTCAGCAAGAGTTCCCTTCTGCTTCTTGCATTTCAATCCATGCGCAAGCTCAAAACAGCCCAAGCCCTCATCATTTTGTAGATCTTCACTATATGATACACCCCCGGAGTAATATGTTAACGGCATTTTTAGGATTTTTAGGTCATCAAAACAAATATCAGCAGTCAAAATTGCCGCCTGACGTCCACCCATGGATAGAACAGCACCTGCCAAGCAACGCCAAGGTCGAGGACAAAGTGAGGACAGTCATTTGCAAGTTTCCAATATTTTCCAATATTTTCCAATATTTTCCAATATGTTCCAATATGTTCCAATATTTTCCAATATTTTCCAATATTTTCCAATATGTTCCAATATTTTCCAATATTTTCCAATATTTTCCAATATGTTCCAATATGTTCCACACCTTCAAAACCTTCAAAACATGTCAAAGACTTAAAACTCAGGTCCAACAGTCCAACATGATCCAACTCAGATCCCACCTGGACTCGGATGTCCGGCGCTCCTGCTGCGGCTTCCTTCCTTGCGCGCAGAGTACAGGCCATGGCCAAGCCACCACCAGAGGCATCGCCAGCGACACCCAGAGTGGGAGTCCAGCCAAGGTTGCCTGCAACACGCTGCATGAGAAACATTGAGAAACCACGGAAGGACTCAGCATGACTCAGTAAGGAAATTAAACCCCATGTTTCTAATGCAATATGCATACATTTACATGCATATGGTATATATTAATATATACTATAAAATGCAACATAAAGTATATCTATTAGATATATAATGATGTATATATATATATATTATATAATATATATATATAATATAATATATATAATATATATATAATATATATATAATATATTATATATATATGTGTATTATTGTGTATTATTGTATATTATTGTATTTATATTGATATGTGACCACGCGCGACCATGTGTTTGCGTGATATGAATGTTTACGTACAGTAATTGCCTTGGAAAACATAGCCCCCGCCCATGAATTTTGCGGAAGTGTGTGCTGTGAACTCAATGACTCTGGCCATTCTTGCATAAAATGCAATGGGCCATGAGTATCTACGCATATGCGTTAGAGAATGAAGGACCAACTGAGTAGTGGAGAATCCGAAAGTTTATTGTATTGGAAGTTGCACAAGAATCACAAGACTATCTGTGTGGCATTGTGCACGGGATCCGAGGGCTCAATCTCGTCGCACTACTACCGCAGTCTCTACCGCAGCACATGAATTGCCAAGATACAAAGTAAAACCACCAAGCACCAAACACTAATCAAAGATAAAGCTCCCAGTTCAACAGCCGCCCTTTTTGTGTCAGCAATACATGGTTTCTGCTTGCCGGCTTGTCCAAGTGCAAACAGTTCCTCTGACGTTGTAAAAGGTCTTGGGCCAGAGACCCCTCATCCAGAAAATTCAATCTGCTGGGGATGTACATGGTCAAAAATCTTCAAAAATCAAATTTCAAAAGCAATTGTGTGCTGACTTGGCTCAACTTGGGCAGCTGGACGTACCATCAAAGCAAGATGGCAAGGAAACAGTTTGAAACAGTGGCACCTCAGGGAATAATTACCACGCGAGCACGTTTAGGGCTCTCTTGGCCTTTGGCTTCGCGCAGTTTTCGAATGTCTGCGGTAGTCACCTCAGAAACACTGAATGTAGAGCATGCTGTATGCAACTTAGGAAGCTGGCAATATCAATATAAAACGGGACAGGCGATTGCTCTGCAAAGGAATCGGCAAGAATATGTTTGAAATTGTTTGAAGAACATCCAACATCACAGCCAAAAAAAAAACGAGAGAGCAAGCAAAAGCAGCCCCCGTGATTTCAGGGTAGGGGGGGTCACCACCACCCCCCCCCCACAGAC